CAGCTGCACGAGAAGCAGATCAGCGACATGCAGATGTCGGCGGACGGCACGCACCTCATCACCGCATCCACAGATCGCACCGCAAAGCTGGTGGACACGCAGGTGGGGGCCGGTGACGGGCGTGGCCACAGCGCCCAGGGGAGGGTTGCTGCGGGTGGCACCCCGGACGCTACGCCGGGCTGGCGTGTGCCTGGGCCTGGCTGGCTGGCTGTGGTGTGGATGGCCATGGCTGCCTGTGGTGCTGAGTGCTGCGCTCAACCCCTCCCCTCCCCTTCCACCCCCTCCCGCACCCCCCCACCCCTATTGCGCGCAGACGTTTGAGGTGCTCAAGGAGTACAAGAGCGCGGCGCCCATCAACAGCGCGGCGCTGTCACCCATCTTTGACCACGTGCTCATCGGGGGAGGGCAGGTGGGCTGGGGGGTGTGCTAGGGGTCGGTCGGTCGGGAGGTCCGAAGCGCAGGCCGCTACCTCATGGCAGCAGCATCCTTCTTCAGCGGCGGCGCGCATGGGCAGGCGCGCCCGTGCAGCCGCGCCTCGGCCCTCACTCGCCGGCCGCCCCTCCCGCCGCCCGCGCCGCGCCTGCCACCGCAGGACGCCGCGGCGGTGACCACCACCGCGGCCAAGGCGGGCTACTTTGAGGCCCGCTTCTTCCACAAGGTCTTCTGCGAGGAGTTTGCCAACGCGCGCGGCCACTTCTCCCCCATCAACTCTGTGGCCTTCAGCCCAGACGGCACCGCCTTTGTGACGGGCGCGGAGGAGGGCAACGTGCGGCTGCACCACTTTGATGCGGGTGCGTGGCCGCGCCCGCGCCGCCGCTGCGGCTGCCGCTCCAGGTTGCGGCAGCTGGGGAGTGCGGGGCGGGCGGCAACATTTCGGCCCTGCCCGGCCTCCCTCATTGTGACATGCTTGCCTCTCCCCTTGCCTGTGCAGACTACTTCACGACAAACTGGGACAGGGTCTGAATCCAGCGGACGCGGGCTTGTAGCAACAGCTGCCGGCACGCGGAGAGCGGCAGCGGCCTTGCATGCCAAGCCAGCCTCGCGCCTCCGACCCGTTGCTCGATTCTTCGCACCGCCAACGCATGCCACCTTTCATGTTTGTTTTTTCCAGTTCTGCTTACACGCTTTGCTCGCTTGTCACATTGCTTCTGCCTGCCTGCCGGTGCTTGGGCCCGGCGGGGCGCATCAGCGGCGCTGCCCTGCGTGCACCTCCAGCTTCCGCTGCCAGTCGGCAATCTTCTTGCTCACCTCTGCACATGCGTTCTTCACCCGCATGTAATCCAGAATGGTTGCAACGCTGCCGGGTGCCTCCTCTTCAGCATCCCCTCCAGCAGGGGCGGCGGTAACCCCGGCATCATCCCCTGGTGTCGCCGCCGGCGGGGCCTGGCCCTTGCCCTGGCCCTGCAGCCGCTGGCACTCCCGCTCCAGCTCTCCGCACTCTCGCCGCACCTTGGCGGCACCCGCCAGCAGCTGCGCCGCCTGGCCCTCGCGCACCTCGATCTGGCGCTGCAGCTGCGCCGCTGCCGCCGCCGCCGCCACCAGCAGGCTGCGCTGGTCGGCCAGGTGCTGCTGCGCGCGAGCCACCTGGGCCTTGAGGGCGATGGCACCCGCGCTGGCCGCCGCAACCTCTGCCTCCGCCTGCGCCCGCTCGATGCGCAGCTGCTCAAAGTCGACCTTGCGCAGCGTGGGGCCGCCCGCCGCCGCCTTTGCCGCAAGCTGGCCCTCCACCCGGCCCAGCTGGCTCTGCAAGGGGCGCAGGCACCGCCTCGCCAGCGTGAGATGAGCATGGACACATGGCCTGGCACCAGCAGCACAAGGCACGACGTCAGTGCACACGGGACCCAACCTCTTCCACCGCCCGCATGCGCTCACCTGGAGCATGGCATTGCGTGCTTGCAGGCGTGTTGCTGCCGCCTCGTGCCGTGCCAGAATGCCCTCCAGGAACTCCTCCAGCCGCGGCCCAGCCAGCTCAGCCTTGGCCAGCTGCGTAGCTGTGGGCAGGGCCAGCGCAGGGTCAGGCACAGGGGCGGGTGGTGCCAGGCCCACCACCGTCGGCTCGCCCTGCGGGTCTGCGCTGCTGCTGCAGCTTGCTGTGGCCTGCTCTGCGCCGGCGTCGGGTGTCAGCACCGGCAGGGGCGCGCTGGCTCGGTCTGCCGTCAGCCCCAGAAGGCCCAGCAGCGCGGCCACGTCCCTGCTCGTCTCCGCCGCCTGCTGCTGGCGGCAGTCGGTGATGGCTGCCAGCGTGCAGGCCAGCTCCAGCTCGCTGTCTTTCTGCATCTGCTCGATCTCCCGACGCGTGGTGTTGCCCTCCACAGCGCAGAGTTCCAGCTTTTCGGCCAGCAGCAGCGGGTCGCGCCAGTCGTCGGTGGCGGCGGCATCTCCATCGGTGGAGACAGCTGCGTTGCGGGCAGCCAGGAAATTGCGCAGGAACTCATTCTCCAGCTCCAGAAAGGACACCTGCTCCTCCAGGTCGACCGTCTCGGCCATCAACATTGACCGAATCCTGCTGACAGCACACGTAGTGGGTCTGAGAGAGCTTCCGGTCGTCTCAGGAAGCACTGCTGGCATAAACACGGGCGGAATGGGGCCGGTTTTGACTTGGTCGTGCCACGGCACTACACCTGTTCCGCAACCCTCAACCGTTTTATGGCATTTGGTCACATTCAATTGGGCATCCGTGCACTGCTCTTCATTGGGTCGCTGCCCTGTGTGCTTGCTGCGACATGGCATCAGACGGAATCGAGGAGACGAATGAAGGCGCTCACGAGCCTGCAGCAGCCGAGGATGGCAAGCTGGCGCGTCTGCGGGCGCTGGCGGAGCAGGAGATGCGGCGTCGGTTGCCCGCCGATGCCGGCGGGGGCCCGCCTCCCAAGCGGCACAAGGCCGGCGGTGGCATTGCTGGCAGCGCAGAAGCTGCCGCTGTAAGGCGGTATGACTATGGAGCAGTACAAGAGCTGGCTAGTGGCGTCGCTGGCTTCTTGCTGACCTGCGCTTTGCAAAGGTGCGTGAGCTGCCACGCTGCCCTGGCTGCGCTGCCCTTCGATCGCGGTAGCAGAAGCTGACCGCTGGGTAACCTTGCGTGTTGCAGGGAGAACTCGGCACGCAAGGAGGTGGGGCCCCTGCTGATCCACTACCTGCAGCAGTGTACCGAGTCTGGAGGCGGCGGGCAGGCTGGGAGTGCAGCGGCCGGCGGAAGCCTGGCTGCCATCAAGATCGCTTGCCGTGGCGTGGTAGCCCTCAAGCTTGCCGCCCACGATGCAGCAGAAGGAGGCAGCGCCAGCAGCAGCGATGCAGCAGCAGCAGCACTAGTGCGGCAGGTGGCCGCAGCTCTGCTGGCAGATATTGACAGCGGCGAGCAGCAGCGCCTGCAACACGTGCAGCGCATCATCCCCATCCAGACCACCTGCCAGCTGGAGCGCGGTGCGCTGCAGGCTGCAGGCGCGCGGCTGTCGGCGGTGGTGGCGGCTGGCTGGCTGCCCGCAGCACAGCTGGGCAATGCAGGTGCTGGGGAAGGGCAGCACCAGGCGGCGATAGTGGCTGGGGACAGCACCCCCTGCAGCCAGCAGCGCTCCATCAAATTCGGCATTGCTGTGAAGCATCGGCAGCTCCCAGAGGTTGCTGGCGCGAAGCTGGCAACGCCACCAGGAGCGGCAGCAGGACCCTCCCAGCCAGCAGCAGTAGGTGACAAGCCCGCAGCGCCAAGCACAAGCAATGGCGACGTGGCTGGCAGCGCTGCTGCAAGCACTGAGCCACCGGCAATGGACCGCGGCGCCATCATCGCCTCTCTGGCCAGCGGCTTCGAGGCGGCGCTACGGGAGGAGCACGACCTGCAGGCGGCGGTGGATCTGAAGGCGCCAGACGTGGTGCTGGTTGTGGAGGTGCTGCCAGCTGGTGGCGCCCTCTACGCAGCGCTGTGTGCCCTGCCACAAGCGCTCTGCGTGCTCAAGCCCAAGCTGCACATCCGGCCAGTCGGGAAGATGCATTGAGCAGCAAGATGCATTGAGCGGGGTGTCGGTTGCTGCCTTTAGAACCAACCCCATGTGACCATTGGATGCGCGAGCCTTGGGATAGCGCGGCATGCGCGTTACAGCAAGGGATGTGTGCCAAGATTTATTCCAAGCAATCGTAAGTATTTGGTGAAGAGAGAGTTTTGGAAAAGAAATTGCAGATAAGAGCTGCGTTCAAAAACAGGGCGGCAGTGTGGAAGAGAGGGGAATAAATGTTCCCGGCAGCGTGGAGAGAGCAAAGGGGAAGCAGGGTCCCGGGTGTACATGCAGGAAGGGTGGCCTGCAGAATCAGCGCCGGCTGGTGGGCAGGCTCTTGGTGTTGTCCCAGCACAGCTTCTGGCCCGTCTTGCGGGCGGTCCACAGGCCGGTGCCGCACTTGCTGCACTTGCTCTGGCCGGCGCTGCCCGAGAACGACTGCAGCACAACGGGCAAGGGAAGGGACACTGAGGGGGAGGCACATGGAGCAGTGGTTGCCAGGGCAGACAAGGGCAGCGACCAAAGACATAGGAAAGCGGCCCATGATAGTGCAGCCACTCACGTTGATGGGGCAGGCGGCGCAGTCGTTGGGTGTGATGGAGGAGAACTTGACGCCAAACTTGCCGGCGGGGCAGGGGGTGGGGGTGACCATCTTGGTGGCCTGGCAGTAGCTGCCGGCGGGGCAGGGCTTGCAGGCGCGCTGGCCCTCGTTGTCCTGGTAGGTGCCCTTGGCGCACTCCTTGCACCACGGCTGCTTCATGTCGGCGTAGAAGCCGCGCGCGCACTTGGTGGGAGCCACGGAGCCGGCGGGGCACTGGTAGCCTGGGGGGCAAGGCTTGCAAGCGCCCTGGCCCTCCTCGTCCTGGTAGGTGCCGCCCTCGCAGGGGATGAAGCCGTCGTTGCCGGTGCCGGGGGCGTAGTTGCCCTTGGGGGCGGGCAGGCAGGCCTCCAGCTCGGTGCTGCCGGTCATCTCGGTGTAGGTGCCCACGGGGCAGTCCTTGCAGTCCAGCTGGCCGGCCTCGTCCTGGTAGGTGCCGGGGCCGCAGATGTCGCAGGCGCTGTTGCCCTCGTCGGGCACGGCGTAGCCCTTGGGGCACTTCTTGCAGGCGCCGGAGAAGCCCTGCTTGTCGGCGTACTCGCCCGCGGCGCAGGCGGTGCAGTTGAGGTCCGAGGTGGTCAGCAGGGTGGAGCCGGGGATGCAGGCCGTGCAGGCGGCGGCGCCAGACGCCAGCTTGGTCTCGCGGCCCTTGGGGCACAGGGTGCAGGTGTTGGCGGCGTACATGGAGGGGCGGAAGCGGCGGGCGCCGCACTTGGTGCAGCTGCTGGCGCCGGTGCCGTCGGCCGCGGCGCCGCCGGTGGCATCGGTGATCTGGCCGGCGGGGCAGGCCTTGCACGCCTTCTGGCCGGGGTTGGCGGCAAAGTAGGCCTTGGCGCAGGGGGTGCACAGGGCGGTGTTGGGGGTGGCGGAGAACTTGCCGGCGGGGCACTGGGTGCACACGGAGGCGCCCTCCTGGGTGGAGCCCGTCTCGTAGCCGGCGGGGCAGGAGCGGCACTTGTTGTCGGTGGCGCCGGTGGGCTTGAAGGTGCCGACCTTGCACAGGTTGCAGCTGGATGCACCCTTGCCGTTCACGTTGATGGTGAACTGGCCGGGGCCGCAGTCGGTGCAGCTGGGGTTGGAGGCAGCGTTGGAGTAGAAGCCGGCGGGGCACTCGTTGCAGGTGTGGGAGCCGTCGCCCTTGGCAAAGGTGCCGGGGCCGCTGCGGCAGGGAAGGGAGCAGGGCAAGGTGCTCAGCAGGGGTGCAGCAAATGAGGGACGATTCACAGGCAGGCAGGAAGTGGCAGGGGCAGGGCTGGCACAGCACAGCACAGCACAGCGAGTCCTGCTGCTGCTGCCACCACACCACACCAGACCAGCAACACCACTCACCAGGGGGAGCAGGAGGTGGAGCCCTCAACAGAGGTGGCGTAGCCCTCAGCGCACAGGGTGCACACAGCGGCGTTGGCGGCGGACCAGCTGCCGGGGGGGCACTTGGTGCAGGCGGTGCCGTCGCCGCCGTTGGCGGAGCGGAAGGTGCCGGCGGGGCAGGCCTGGCACACGGTGCCGGACACGTTGTTGAAGGTGCCCTGGGGGCACAGCTCGCAGGCGGTCTTGCCGGCGTTGTTGGTGGTGCCGGGGGCGCACTCCTGGCACTTGGCGGCGCCCTTCTGGCTGGAGGAGTAGTTGGGGCAGGCCACGCACTGGGAGACGTCGTCGGCGCCAATCAGCTCGTTGAACTTGCCGGAGTCGCAGGCGGTGGCGGCGCCGCTGGCGCACTGGTAGCCGGCGTCGCAGGGGGCGCACTGCTTCTTCACAAAGGTGGTCACGCTGGGGCCGTTCTGGGGGTGGGCCTCGCCGCTGGTGCCGGCGGGGCAGGTGGCGGAGCCGGTGGTGTCAAAGGGCAGCAGGGTGAGGCCGCTGTCGGTGCAGGAGGTGGCGCCGTCGGTGACGGCCAGGGAGGGGGTGCCGGAGAAGGTGATGGCAATGCCAACGCCGCCAACCTTGTCCGCAGCGCGGGCAGAGATGGTGTCGAGGGTCTGGTAGGCACTGCAGCAGGAGGCGGAGCGAGGAGGAAGGGGCATGTGAGCAAGCAGGTGTGGGGGGCAGGCCAGCAGGCAGTATGCAAGCAGGTGTGGGGCAGGCCAGCAGGCAGCAGCAGGCAGCAGCAGGCAGCAGCAGGCAGCAGCAGGCACAGCCATGCCAGGCCCACTCACCCATCGATCACGGCCAGGTCGTCGGCAACGGAGCACTTGCTGTCGCCCAGCACAAACACGCGCACTTCGCAGGTCACGTCAGTCTCAATGGCCAGGGTGCGGCCGTCCAGGCTGTCGCACTTGTTGGCGCCGGTGTTGAAGGGGTGGGCCAGGGAGCAGGCCTCCAGGGTGCTGGTGGAGGGCAGGGTGACGATGCGGTAGCCGGGCTTGGGCTGCTCCTCGGGCAGGTCGCCGTTGAAGCCGGCCACGCCGTCAATCTCGCCAGCAACCACCTTGGGCATGCCGTAGTAGCAGGCCAGGCAGCCGGTGGAGCCGGTGAAGTGGGCGTAGGAGTTCTCGGGGCAGGGCTCGCAGATGGAGCCGCCGGCGGTGGAGCGGTAGGTGTCGACGTCGCAGGTGGTGCAGGCGGTGGAGCCGGGCAGGGTGGCGAAGGAGCCGGCGCTGCAGGTGGCCTTGGCGCCGGCAGTGCACTGGGCGCCGGCGGGGCAGATGGCGCACACGGCACCGTCGTCGTAGCGGCCGTCAGCGCAGGTGGCGCTGTTGTCGCAGGCGGTGTTGGCGGCGGCGCAGAGGTCGGTGGAGGCGAGGTTGGGCCAGGAGAAGGCGCCCTTCACGGCAAAGGTGAGGGTGCCCTGCACGCCGCCCACGGTGGTGTCCACGGTGACACCCTTGAAGGCGGTCTGGAAGGTGGAGGCGCGCACAAAGGTGGCGGCAAAGGTGGCGTTCTTCAGGGCGCGGGCCAGGGCCGTGCTGATGTCGTTGTTCACCACAACGCCGCCCTTCAGGGGGCTGGTGGGGCAGGTCTGCGGCATGGGAGGGGAGGGAGGGGGGCGAAGGTCATGAGGGGTGTGTATGATGCGTTCAGTAAAGAGTGGGGAGGGCTGCACGTCTTGCTGCAAGCATGTCCACACGGCCAGCCAGCCTGCCCACCAAACACAGCCTGCCAGCCACCCACCGTGTTCTTGTACTTAAGGTCGGCAGCAAAGGCGGCGGGGGTGACGGTGAGGGCGCAGTCGTTGCCAACGGCCACGGTGAACTGGGAGTAGCAGACGGCATAGGGGTCGTTCAGACGGGTGGAGCCGGTCAGCACCAGCTCGCCAGACTTGCCCTTGAAGGAGGCATCGCAGCTGCGGCAGGGCGGGAGGGGCGGCAAGGAGAGGAGGGGGTCAGACCACTGGCGTGCCACGACGACGACCAGCCACCAGGGATGGCAGTGCTGCAGCGTGGCGCAAAGCAGGGCCGCCAGGCACGGGCCAATACAGGGCTGACGCAGGCTGTGACCACTGCGGCGGCGGCGGCGGCGACAGATGCAAGGGACACATCCCGGCGGTGGGCCTTGCCAGCGTTGGCCTGGCGGCCACGACCCGCTGCCGATTGCGCCCATCGAATTCTCACCTCTGGGCGGAGGCGGGGTGGGCGAGGAAGAGGCCGAGGGCAAGCAGCTGCAGGGCCACCAGGCCCTTGCGCTGGAAGGGCTGCATGGTGGTGGCAGGGAGATGCCCTGTTTGTGGTGTGTGGTGTGAAGATGAGAAAGAGTGGTTGGACGGGTGCAGCGCCGGCTTTTGTAGGCCGGGCTTGTGACCGTCACAGAAGGCAAGTAATGCGGGTTGCCAGCTCGACACCGACCCGGGGGTTGTCGGGTCAAACGCCGCAAATGCATGCCCTACCCGCGTCATTTTGCTTCTTCGGCCACGTATATGAGTTTACGGCCGGTGGAGAGTGGCATACCCGCTCACGGAGCCCCTGACCCAAGGGTCGCTTCCGGCGCAGGGGCAAAGCCCCCCTTGCAACCCCTGATGTCATGCGCCAGGCAGACCCTAGCCACTTCCCAACATTCCCCGCACGTGATGCGTCCATTCCCCTCTGTGTCCCTGAGACATTTTAGATTGAGCAGAGCAGCGTTCAGGAATCCACGAGCGCCCCCAGGGCATGCGTCAAGGCCCCGCCTGTCTTGGTTACCGCCGCCAAACCCCTTGCAGCAGCACCGCCGCTGCCTGTGCATAGCCGCCAGCAGCGGGCACCACTGGTCACACATACAGTGTACCAGTCACACGCAGCAGCACATAATGATGCGCCTGATGTCCTCTCAACCCCACTCACCGATGCTGCCATCCCCGGCCCTCCTCCAGCCGAGCTGTGCCATGTCGTCGGCAGCCCAGGGTCCGAAAGCGGCCAGACTGCCATGCCAGCATCCTGCCCGGTTTCATGACCTGCTCTGCGTGGCTGTGAGATCGCAGAAAGCATTGAGACGAGATATGCACGTTTTTGAGAGGAAGGCAAGGGGGGTAGCTCCCTGCGGCAAGCTGCCGCCTTGCAAGCGCCGCCGCATTGCCCCTGCCACCACTGCCATGCGTGGAGTGCCGACCAGTTCGTGAATGTACGTAGCTCGTCATAAATAGGAGAGCATCAGTTCCACGGAAACAGGTTCAAAAATCGGCCGCATGTGTATCGCTGATCCGGGAGCGGCAGGCGAAGGCGGCGTGGTGCCATGGTGGCAGGGTGAAATGTTGTGTTGTTTCTATCTTATCTCTTTTTCGTTTGCTTGCCTTTGCTGATCAAAGGCCTCCAAGTGCGAGCCGCCCTAGAGCAGAGCTGCGCAGCATTCCGCAGAGCTGGCCGGATGAGCGGGCGAAACAACAAGTATTGGGATGAGGACGATTTGGACGATAAGGATGATTGGGACGACGACGAGTACTTCGACGATGCTCCGCCTCAGCCAGCCAAGGTGTGTGCGGCATCCCGGCCCCTGGCACAAGCTACAGTAACAAACAAAGAGGCGATGAAGGGATGGTGGCAGTGCGGGTTTGCATCCAGGCCTGTGAGTGAGCCGCCGTCTCCACCACGCTAGTGCCGCCCCGCCTGCTTGCGCTACAGCCCGCCTCCGCCAAGCCAGCACCACCCAACCCGGCGGCAAAACCAGCCGCCCTAGCAGGTGCCTCTGCGCTGGCGCGTGCGCTGGTGGACCCGCCGCCCAAACGCCCCGACGGCAGGCAGCAGCGGGGCGGTAGGCAGCCTGCCGCCGCGGCTTGCTTGCGCCCTGCGCAACACTGCTGGCCGCCCGAGACTCGCTGGCGCATACCCCTTCCCATGCCGGGAATACCGTGAGGCCTTGCCCCGCCTTCCCCACCCCGCCAGCCAAGGCGTTGCCCCAGGCGGCCCAGTTCAAGCAGCAGGCGCACCAGTGGGTACCAGAGGCTGCTGGGCACGGCCCTGCCGCCGCCGCTGGAGCGGCAGGAGGGGAGGTGCAGCCGTTTGCGTTCGACCGGCCCTCGCCTGATGACATTGTGCTGGCGGCGCAGCAGGGCAAGGGCACGCCGTCGGCAGCAGCAGCAGGGGCGGCAGCGGGCGGCGGCAGCAGCCGCCTGGCGTCGCAGGCGGCCAAGCCCCACCGACCCCTCAAGCACCAGCCGCAGCCGCAGCAGCATGGAGCGGCGGATGCCGCCGCAGGGCTGGCCGGCGGCATGCAGGGCCTGTCGGTTGGCGAGGGGGAGCGGCAGCAGGACGGCACTGCAGCAGCAGCGGCAGCGGCGCCGTCGCCACCGCGGCGGCCCCTCAGCGACTACCGCCCAGAGGGCGAGCTGGCGGCGGCGTGCGCCTCGGCTGCCGCGGCGGAGGGGGCCGGGGGCGGCGCCAGGCCGCGGCTGCACCTGGTTGTGCTGGGTCACGTGGATGCGGGGAAGAGCACGCTGATGGGGCGCATGCTGTTCGAGCTGGGCCTGGTGCCCGACAAGGCGGTGCACAAGACGCAGGTGAGGCGCGCAGCGTGTGGTGTGTGTTACTCTGTGTGTGTGTGTGTGTGTGTGTGTGTACACGTGTGGTGGTGGTGTGGATGGCTGACAGGGCCTCAGCCTGGGTGCGCCGGGCGCGCAGGCAAAGGCAGCTGCGAGCCGGCAGCAGGCGCAGGGGGCCGCTGCTGCTGCTGCCGCCGCGGGCGTGGCTGCCCCTTGGATGGTTGCCTGCCCCCCCATCGTCTGTGCGCATGCCCTCGCGGCCCCGCCGCCCCTGCAGCGGGAGGCGGCTGCCAGCGGCAAGGGCTCCTTTGCTTGGGCCTGGATGCTGGATGAGCGGCCCGAGGAGCGGGCCAGGGGCGTGACGGTGGATGTGGCGGTGACGCGGTGGGTGCAGCGTGGCTGCTGCTGCGCCGGGCGCAACGCTCGCCCGCCTGTTTGAGGCATGCATGCTGGAACCCTGCGCACCGGCCAGCACCGCCGCCGCCTGCCCACGTGCTCGCGGTGCCTGCCTCCCCTGGGGCCCAAGGGCTGCCCCCCGCCGCCGCCCCGCGCCGCAGGTTTGAGACGCCGGGGCGCAATGTGACGCTGCTGGATGCGCCCGGCCACCGAGACTTTGTGCCCAACATGATTGCAGGGGCGGCACAGGTGGGGCGGGGAGCAGCGGGCGCTGCGGGGGTCGGGGAAGCTAGCTAAGGAGGGATGGGAGGGGCCAGGCGGCTCCGGACACACTTGCTCTGCGCAGGGCGGCCGCAAGGGGTTGCCGCCCTGCGCATGCCGCTCCTCCAGCCTGCGGGCCTGCACACCTGGCTGGCCCAGATCCTCGCCCTGTCCCTGCCGTGGCGTGCAGGCGGATGCGGCGCTGCTGATTGTGGATGGCTCGCCGGGCAGCTTTGAGGCTGGGTTTGAGGCGGCGGCGCCGGGCAGCCCCGCAGGCGGCGGACAGACGAGGGAGCACGCTCAGGTGTGTGGGTGGGAGGGGGCGCACTCGTCCCACCCCTGCCCTGCCGCCCCACTTCACACACACACACCTCATAACTCACACCCGCGACCAGGCCTCGTGCCGTATGCACGCCTGCACACCTGCCTGCCTGCCTTGCCCATCCCGCCGCCACGCCTCCCTCCGCAGCTGGCGCGCAGCCTGGGCGTGGAGCAGGTGGCTGTGGTGGTGACCAAGCTGGACACATGCGGCTTCAGCAGGGAGCGGTTCGACCTTATACGGTGTGTGTGTGTGTGTGTGTGTGTACAGTGTTGGGGGGGAGGGTCTTGGGGGTGGTAGGTGACCTGCGGCTCGGGGCCCCGCTGCATGCACCGCGCCGTGCGGCTGATGCCGTCGCCGCCTGCCGCTGCCCGGCGCCGCCGCCTCCTCCTGGCAGGGCGCAGCTGGAGCCCTTCCTGCGGACCTGCGGCTTCCGGGAGGCCGCTGTGCAGTGGCTGCCCGCTGTGGGCCCCACCGGCGACAACCTGGTCAAGCCGGCCGCCGACCCTCGCCTGGCGGCGTGGTGGCGAGGGCCCACCCTGGCGCAGGTGCGCGGGAAGGGCCTGCTGCCGTCTTCGGGGCGCGTCGCCTCCAGCACAGGCAGGGCAGCTGGGCAGGGCTGCCGCTGCCTTGTGACGGCCCGGCCAGTGTGGCGCCCATCCATCCATCCAGCCACGGCTCCCCTCCTTTGCCCTGCCCCTGCGCAGGCCATCGACGCCTTCAGCCCCACCCACCGCCTGGTGGAGAAGCCGCTGCGGCTGCCAGTGTCGGACGTGGTGCGCGGCGGCAAGGCGGGGGTGACGGTGGGCGGCAAGCTGGAGGGCGGCGCGCTGCGCGTCGGCAGCAGGGTGGCGGTCATGCCCTCGGGGCAGCAGGCTGCCGTCAAGTGAGCGTGCGGTGGTGCTGCTGCTGGGGTGTGGGTGTGATCAGCCCCAGTACTCTAGAGCAGGAGCCAGGGGCCAGCTCTAGCCACAAACGGGGCAGCGTGGGGCAGGCAGGCCGGCACTGGTGGGCTCATGCTGCTTCCACCCTGCCCCGGTCGCCCCACCTCCCACCAACCCTGCAGGGCCCTGGAGGTGGATGGCAAGGCGGCCAGCCTGGCGCGAGCTGGCGACAGCGCCGATGTCACACTGGCCGGCATCGACACCACCGCAGTGGGCCCCGGCTCGGTGCTCTGCCACCCAGACTTTCCTGTGCCGCTGGTGGCCAAGTGAGCGGGCAGGATGGGGGGGTTATGGGGGGTTGGTCGGCAGGGGAGCAAGGGAACAAACGATTCGGGTGCTGCTGCGGCAGTCAGAGGTTGGTGCATGGGCGCAGCATGCAGCGGCTTGTCACGGCTCTTGTGCAGCAGGAGCCCTGACACGAGCTGACCTGCTGCCTCCTGAGCTTCTTGCCAGTGTCTGCCTTGCCTTGCCTGCCCCCCGGCTGCAGGTTTGAGGCGCGGGTGGTGGTGCTGGATGTGGCGGTACCCATCCTGCGGGGGCAGCAGGTCACCATACATGCACACACAGGTGGGCGCGTGGGCGGGAGCAGGACAGCATGCGGCCAGGCTCACGACAGCATGCTCCGCTGGCTTGCCGCACGCTCAGCCTGCCGCCTGCGCCGCCCACCCTCCCCTGCCCGCCCTGGCTCGGCCCCCGCCTGCAGCGCGGGAGAGCGGCCACATCAGCGGGCTGGTGTCCCTGCTCAACGGCAAGACGGGGGAGGTGCAGCGGGCGCGGCCGCGGTGCCTGCTCAAGGGCCAGTCGGCGGTGGTGGAGGTGACCCCCGCGCGCCCGCTCTGCCTCGAGTGCTACTCTGACTACCGAGCGCTGGGGCGGGTGGCGCTGCGCGACGGCGGCCGCACCATCGCGGTGGGCGTGGTCACGGGCTGCACGCCACGGGAGGCGCCTGGGCAGTGAAGGCAGGGCCCCTGGCTGCCTGGGTGTGCCAACTGTAGCATGCGGAGGGTTTGAGATCAAGATGGAAAACGGTGGTTGCGCGCAGCAGGGTGCGGATTGCACTTCCAGTCCCACTTCCCAGTAATTGAGACTTCAATCGGACTTCAATTGCTGAAGGGGTGCATCAATGCCACACCACAAATCAAGGCTCAAGAGAAGGCCAGGGCAATGGTGGCGGCGTGCATGGCGCCCAGCTTGGCGGTGCATGCACGCAGCCCCAGGCGGGGGGACTGCGTTTCATCTGCCGTCTTTCTGCACAGCATGACAGCGCGTAGGCATCCACCCACGCAGATCAAGCAGTGAGCTCCTGGGCCCCGGCTTTAGTTTCTTGACTGTTGTTAAGCTGTGGTTCATGGAGGACGCTGCCGCGAGCTCAGGCCTGTGTGTCACCGGCGCAAGCCACCGCCCGTCACCCAACCCCGTTGACACTCAAGAGATCCAAGGATAGCAGCAGCTGGGCATGGGGGACGGCTTCTGCACTGCGCCGGCTGTCCGCATCAGCCATGATTGATTGGGTGGGGCGGGGGGGGGGCCAAGATTACCGGCCAGGAAGTTGCGGCGGCGGCGCAAGCGCAGACCCAACCGCGGCATCGCGCCTCATCGATGGTGTTTGGTGTGGGTTCGCTGTTTGCACGCCCCAGTATCCCCGGTTAGACTGCTGTAGGGGAGGCAGCGCTAAATAAACGAGCGCTGCCAGCCTGTCGGCGTATCTCCGCACGTCGCCCCTTTGGTCACCCACGCGTGTCATTCTCTTCTTCTTCGCTTAATCTACGGGGGGACAGGCTCCCGCTCACAACTCGCAGCGGTGCACGACCAACTCCCCTTCATGGCGCGTCCCGCGGCCGTCCTGTGCCTGCTGCTGGCCCTCCTGGGCGCCGGTGAGCGAGCCATGGGGAAGTGTGGCACGTCCTGGAGGGCGCCTTATACTCGATTGCGCAGCGTCGCAAACCGCTCGGGCGTTCCGCTTGCAGGCTCGGTGGCCGCTGCCGCTTGGAGCGCCGAGGATGCCGAGGCGGAACCCGCATCGGCGGGCGGGTGAGTCGAGCGTGGTCAGGTTCGGTGGTGGTACTACCTACCCCCTCCACCGCTGCTGGCACAACCTCGCCCACCGCCGCCGCTGGCTCAGCCTCACCTGCCCCTGCCCTGCCCTGCCCTGCCCTCCCTCCCATCTGAGGCGCATAGGCGTAAGCTGCAGCAGCTGAAGAAGCCACCGTGAGGCGGCGGCTGCCTGCTTGTTACTTGAGGCCACCGCCGCTGCCACGTGTGTGTGGTGCCGCCGAAGAACAAGGATGTCACCAACTCTCATGCAAAAAAATGCAGGTCGCCCCGTCCTCCCAGGCCTCCGCCACGCCCGCGCCCTCCCAGACCGCCAAGGCACGCAACTAGAGTCGTGCGGAGAGCAGCACTGAACCGGCATTAATAAACCAGCACTCTGTAGTTACTGCTGCTGTTGGCATACCAATCAGTTTACTTATCTGCAATATCTTTTGTTCAAATTTTTTTTTGCAGCCCAAAACCACCTAGTCCGCGTCCGCCCAGGCCGCCTCCAAGGCCCAAGCCACCTAGGCCGCCCAGGCAAGCAATCCGCCCATCATCAGCACTGACCCATCAGCACTGACCCTGGCACCGCTCGTTTTCTGCAACGCTCGTTTTCTGCAACGCTCGTTTTTTTTGTGTACCGCTCGTTTTCTGCAGCCCAAAGCCGCCGCCAAGGCCTAAGCCACCTTCCCCTAAGCCACCTTCCCCTAAGCCACCTCCTCGTCCCAAGCCGCCGCCAAGGCCTAAGCCACCTTCCCCTCCTCCCAAGCCGCCGCCAAACCCCAACCCCCCCAGGTAAGCAACTTTTTGCGTGCAGAGAGCAGCGCAGGATACACCAGATATGTGCTGCACAGCGCTTCTTCAGCCCTGCCGTGCTGCTGACCGTGGCATGCCGCTCCTGATGGTGCACGCTTAAAGCGTGCAATTTTTCACGCACCCTTATCTCTTGTGTTGCAGTCCTCGGCCCCCCAGCCCGAAGCCTTCCCCGCCCAGCCCGCGCCCGCCGCCGCCGCCGCCCAGGTGGGCCGCCGGGCGGCCCAGCTGCTCCGCATGGGCGCCGCCGCGGCATGCCAGCCCGCCCGCTGAATGCGCCTCCCGGCCCACCACCCTCGCTCCCCTCCTTCCTTCCCACGCAGCAACGCGCGCGCATGGGGCGCCAACGGCTTTGGCCAGCTGGGCAACGGCGAGATCGGCGACTCGGCGCAGGACGTCGTCATCGTCTCCGGCTCCCTGCAATTCACCTCTGTCGTGGTGGGCGGCTACCACGTGTGCGGCCTGGAAGGCGGCGGCGCTGCGTACTGCTGGGGCAAGAACATGGATGGTCTGGTGCCCATCCTGGGCGTGGGCGAGGAGTTCAACGGAGTGGTGCCGCAGCCCTCGCCGGTGCTGGGCGGCCACACCTTTGCCGCCCTCGCCGCCGGCGTCGACTTCACACTGGGCCTGCTCGCCAACGGCTCCCTGCTGGCCTGGGTGCGCCGCTGCCGCCGCCGCCGCCGCTGCTGCTGCTGCCTGGCGAATGTGGTGGTGGTGGTGGTGGTGGTGGTGGTGAGGGGACGGGGCCAACGGCACACGCGGGCGCCGCGCCCCTGCCAGCGCCTCCCAGCCGCCTCTGAGTGTGGCCCGCCGTGGCTGCCCCCCGGGCCCGCGCCTGTGCAGGGCTCGAACAACTGTGGCCAGCTGGGCGTGGGAGACACCGACCCTCGCAGCGTGCCCACCCCCGTAGCCACCGACGCCACCTTCACTGGCGCCTCTGCCGGCAACGGCTTTGCCTGCGCCATGCGTGCCGACACCCGCACCCCCATGTGCGCCCGCCTGCGCCGCCGCCGCCCACTCCACGCGCCTTACCCCCTCCCGCCCCCCAGGATGCCTCACAGCAGTACCCTCCTCCCCGCACGCATCGCAGGTGCTGGGGCCGCGGCGACCGCGGCCAGGTTGGCGACGGCGCCGCCGTCGACCGCCTGGTCCCCACCAGCGTCAACCTCACCGATGTGCGCCCCAGCAACAAGACATTCCTCTCGCTGACCTCTGGCGATCGCCACACCTGCATGCTGCACGCCCCAACCTACGCCGTCTACTGCTGTGAGCGGCGGGCGGGGGGGAGGGAGGGGGAGGGCAGGGAGGGGAGGGTGGAGGGGGAGGCAGGCGGATGGCGGCGGGGGGGCCGGGGGGCCTGACGGGCGCCGCCTGCCGCCGCTCCCCGCCGCCGAGCCCCGCCCCCGGCCTCCCTCCTGCGCGCCGCGCTGCAGGGGGCGACAACCTCGCCCGGCAGAGCGCCCAGTTCGGGGTCAACCTGGTGCCGGTGCCGAAGCAGGCCTGGAGCGGCGACTGGCAGTGCAGCGCGCTGGCGGCCGGCTACGAGCACGGCTGCTGCCTGCAGTACAGCCGCGACTTCCCGGCGGAGGTGGGCCTGGTGCGGTGCTGGGGCAGCAACGAGTACGGCGCCCTGGGCCTGGGCACCACCTCCACCACGCCCGTCCACTTCCCAGAGGACCCGGTGGCGGGCGGCCGCACCTACTCCGCCATCTCGGCCACCAACTACGCCGGCCACACGTGCGCGCTGGAGGCCGGCACCGGCCTCGCGTACTGCTGGGGTATCAGCTTCTCGCGCCAGGTGGGCGGCGGCCTGGCAGACAGCGTCTACTCGGTGCCCACCCCCGCCGACCCACAGAACCGCACCTTTGCCGCCGTCGTCGCGGGTGGCGAGCAGACGGTGTCGCTCGTGGCCTGACGTCAGTGCGCCGCTCGCCGCCTGCAAAGGCTGAGCCCGAATGGCTGCCGTTGGGGCCTCCTGTGCGTTCACGGCCGGCAGCGGTTGTGGCAGCACCACGGGTTCTGCCACACCTCCCTCCCTGATTTTTCCACATGTTTGAACTCATACGAACAAATGCAGCAGGTTCCCAGCTGCTGCCACCTCTCAGCCAGCTGCCTATTTCGAATTGGTTGGTCTGAATTTTCCTCGTGTGCCTGGAGCTTTCTGCCGCTTTCTCGGGAGTTTTCTGCCACACAAAATCGCCCCCCTTGATTTTTCCAAATGCTTGAACTCACAATGAACAAATGCAACAGTTCCGCGCCGCCTTCCTAACTACACCCGAGCTGCCCCTTCACATACGTATGTTCATATGTTTGCATCCCCCCGCCTGTCGAGAGTTTCCTGCCGCTTTCTGCCCCCCTCGGTGCTCTGGATTTCCAATTCAACATCTGAGTCCCACCCAGCCTACCAAGCAGCATGTTCGCCTGATACATTCATCTCTTCTCTCCCTGTGTGCTGGAGCGCCGTGTGTGAGAGAGGCCCAGCGCCCCAGCCCCTGCCCAAAGGAGAAGGATTCTGCTGTTGGGACCAGGGCTCGGCAGTCACCCCGGCGCTTTCAGGAGGCACCCTGCCCTCGCACAAAGACACAACAGGCCGGCCGAAACCTTCTGAGCCCGTGCTGCCATTTTGCCACCACAACATTGTTGCAAGAGCTGCCTGATGCAAGCGGTTTGCGGAAGAGGTTGGGTGTCACGGCCTGGCATCTAGGCCGGCAGCTGACTCAGAAAGCGTCAGCTGGGGGTGTGCAGGTGGGAGAGGGGAGCGGGAAAGGGAGGGGAGGGGAAAAGACACAACAAAAAGGACAGGACGTGCCAGCTATAGGAGTAGAAGGAATTGCAGGGCCCGGGGTGGCAAGAGGCATGGCGGCAAGCGGCGGGCTGTCAGGAGGAGGGGCTGTGGGGAGCGCGCCGTGCGCCCCGACCCTGCCGCCCCCCTGCCCCACCCAGCCAGCGGCCGCGGGCCCGCGGCAGGGCGAGGCCTCAGAGCTGGTTGAACTTGGTGCGAATGGCGTCCATGACGGCGCCCAGCTCCTCCTTCACCTGCACCGGCGGGTTGGCGTACTTCCCTCCAATCCCCTCAATCTCCTTGCTGTGGTATGCCACCTTGCTCTGCGCAAACTTGAGGCCGTGCGCTGCGGGCAGGAGGGGCGGGAATGGCGGGGGCGGGTCCCAACCGGTGAGTGTGCTGGGAGCGAGGGCTGGGCACACTGAGGTGACGCACCCAAAACTGCCCAACAGCGGCCGGCCAGCCCAGCGGCCCCCTGAGCCAGCCAGTGCCGGCGCTCCCCATCCACACAACACACGCACACGCCGCGCGGCGGCGCGCCGCCACCCCCGCCCCCCACGCCGCACCCGTGGACACGACGACGGTGCGGTCGGAGGGCGCGATGACGCCGCGCTCCCGCAGCTTGGTCAGCGCGCTGAGCGCCACCCCCGTGTGCGGGCAGTTGAACATGCCCGTCAGGTCGGCGCGCGCCGCCGCATCCATCAGCTCCTCCTCGCTCGCCTCCTCCACGATGCCTGCGGGGCGCGGGGGCAGGTGGGTGGGTGGGTGGGGGTGGGGGCGAGCGGCGGCGGGCCG